CTGGCCATTACAATACAATCAGCCGGATGGACAGACACCGGGTCATGGATGACCATTACTCTCCAGACAGAGACAGGTAAACACAACGAACTCACTGAACTCTACTGCCTTTGGGAAGGGTTACTGTAACACATTTTCTCAAGCCCTTTGTCTCACCTGCGTTTCCAAACTATGCTTTTTCTTTGCTGTTACTGCATTCTTTAATGCAGTAACAAAGGTAGCCCTTTGCTTAAAAGAAAAGGATAAACACGTACAGTTATCTTGATAAGAAAAAAAACAAAACAAAACAGGATGAACCTGACCATCAGGGCTCAGCTGACCATGGCTTTCCTTATCTCCATGGCTCTCCTGAGCACTGTGGCTCTCCTGAGCACTGTGGCTCTCCTGAGCTCCCTGGCCCCCCTGAGCTCCCTGGCTCCCTCCCCTGAGCTCCATGGCTCCCTTTCCTGAGCTCCCTGGCTCCCCTGAACACCATGGCTCCCCTGGGCTCCATGATTCATGTTTAGATCCCCAGCACTTGGAATGGAGATCAGGAAAGTCGCAGCTATCAGATCGGCCATCGCTGCCTGACTGGACTCTGTCAAGAAAAGATTAAATGAAAATAACTAGCAAATTTGCACAAGAGATGATAATGATAATCAGAATGCAAACATGTTTCCTTACCTACACATAGCAAATTATCATGTGTAACATATATCCATAGGCTGATAGAGATTAAAGACTTTAATAGATTTCAGAGAAATGGTGTGACTTTTCATAAACAGAAATATTGAGACAGAGACTCAGTCTGGTTTGTTTAGGAAACTTTTCTCCAGGAGGTTTTATTTCATGGCCATCAGTAAAGTTTTAACATCGTAAAGAATCACACTTGCTGCATTTGCAGGAATTCTCTGAATTTGCCCCATTAAATGTGACAAAATTTGGGAGTAACATGGTATGTTACAATGCTTGCATTAATTTCTACTGATTTTAAGAAAGTCAATTAACTTTCTAAATTAATTTGGTTATATGCATATATAAATACTATTGGATATTTTTAAACTCTTAAATGAGTTTAGGATAAGACAAATACAGTATTCAGAAAATATGATGAAATAGTATGGGAACTTACTTCCTTGTCATTGAAGTCCACTGACATGACAAGTAACTGTCAGGGTGTCTAAAAGAAATCATTTGGTGTGAATCAAGATTAATACCAATCTGTGCATGTAATTCCCTTTTGTCTCCAAAGACTGCATAGAGTATATCATCTACATTGATGGTGCCAAACAAATACTAATTCTTATGTCTATGATCAAAGAAGAAACAAAATAGCTATTAAATTAGTATTTCTATTAGCATCAGGTAAAAAGTATTTAATTTTTTGCTTCTGAACATTTTTAAAACCTTTTTCATGTAATGAGTGCCTGAAGGCTGGTTCTGTGTGTGCTGCCTGCTGGGAGACACCCAGTCAATGGGGTGAAAGTAGAATCCCATTGTTGGCTTGCCTTAGACCTGGAACGAGTCATAATAAAGGGCCAGTAGGTATTTTGCTTGCCTATTAGAATGTTAATAAACTTTATTAGCTTTTAAAATTATTTATATAACTGTGGCTCCTTAGCCACTGAAAACTTCCTTATTGAGAGAATAAAATAGTCTAAATGACTATAAGTTTCTTTTAAGCTTACATAAAGTGATCATTTAATGAAAAAAAAACGACTCCACATGAAGTACAAAAATAATCCTCATAGAAAGTAATAGAATGAAATTATAAAAATAACCACTTATTATTACATTAATAATATTTTGTCAGTATTTTAAGGCACATATTATTAGATTTAATGACCACAAACAAAGAACCATTCAGCTTTAATATTTTCTGTTAAAACACAGATAATTAATCCCGATTTTATGTAGTCATTATGTTTTTCTTCTTTGTGATCTTAAGAATCTTTTAGTGTAGCAAGAATATTCAAATGTTTGTCTGTGGAAATTTTTAAGAAGGTAGACCCATGTGATTTTATAAGGGAGGACGTAGATGTGCAGATCACAGTCATCCTTTTTTTGGGATCTGTTGCGAGTCCTTTTAAGCCTTATTTAAAGTAGAATTTCATTTCAATGGAAACAAGCAATAGAAAGCACTTCTCGTATTATTTTGACTACTTGTGCAATTCATTAATACAAGGAGCAACTTTCATCGCACAGTATTCTCCCTTAGTGTCTGTTCTGGTCTACTAGTCTTAAGGATTTTCAGTAGTCACATGCATCAGAAGGGCCTTTTAAAAGGGGGAATGTATTCTTGCTTTGTGTTTAGGAATATCATCCTCTAGAATTGTGAATCTGCTCAATTCATTTGGAGTTGAGATATGTCTGGGTGACTGATAGGAGAAATTTCCAGAAGGTTATCTCTGAGGGGAAGACCTGTCTTGAATTTATTATAGGTGGCTTCCCAGTAGGCTGTGAACCTAGCTGGAGGGAAGAAAATAAGGGGAATGCAGTCAGGTCAGCCTTGTTTTTCCCGTTTCATGACTAGCCTGAGGTAACTGCTCTGGTTCACCTCACCATCTCTGTTATGGTGGGTGAACATCTGGAACTGGTTCAAAATAAGTTTTTCCTCTTTGAAAAATAGGTTATATCAAGTATTTTATCATAGTGATCAAACTTTGATTAACCCAAGAACCAATCAATATTACTGTGTATTAAAAAATCAAAAAAATAATTTTCTCTGTAATTCAGGGATTTTAAAAGATGCACACATTGTTCCTGTTAGTAAAATCTAATGAAATGTAGTGTATTGAATTAGAAATTCATTTAATTGAATGTACAACTTTTCATAGGATTTGGAACCAAGTGTTCTTGAATTTGTATTTAGGATTTTAAGTATGGCTTGGGAAAACCAAGATTTGAATTTTGGACCTATAAATTTTATTGTATAAAATTATACAAATTAAGTGACACTGCCTCCAGTGAGAGTTTTATATTCCTTATTGGACAGCCAGTTGCCGCAAAGTATAACACACAGCTATGTATTATCAAAAGTTTGTGTTGTTAGTTCACTGCATATTGTAATCCAACTGCTCAGAACATAGGGGTAGGAGGTTCAGGAGTTGAAGACCAGCCTTGGCTACATAGCTGGCTCAACGAGACTGAACTACATAATGCAATCAAGAAAAGAAAGAAAATTTTATATATTTAATAAAAATAATGTGCTGTATACAACATTAAGACAACATTGACTCTCAAATATTTTAAATTTCAAGATTAACAATCAACCTGAAGCAACAAAGATGACAATAGTCAAACAAAAACAAAAAGTCCGAGAATTAGTTAATTGAAGCATTGTGGAGAAAGTAAAAGGATGGTAGCTGACTGGGCTTTGAGAAATGGGAATGCTTGTTCAGTCAACAAGAGCCAAGTTACAGCAGGAAAGCACGCCTACAGGTGCAGTTGAGTATGAAGCAGTGTTGGGTGCCATGCTGGGTAATGGGATGTGAAGAGCTTTACACTGAGCTGAACCCCTGTGATGCAGTTATAGTTCTTTAATATATTTCAGTGGTGGATGCAGGGTATGTAGCATTCTTTCTCTTTATGGGCAGTGTCTAAGGATTATGTATCTATATTTTATTGGAATCTTTGATTCCTTCTTGGTCTCTATCATCAGTCAGAATCCTACTGTGTTGTGAAGAGTAAATGCTGTTCACAAGTGACGCAAGCACTGGATGCACATTATTAGTTACAGTGACGCACTGTTAATGGATGACTTGTATTTGTCATCCCCCGCCCCACTACTCCTTTTGACTCGTTTCTTTAGTAACCGTGCTAACTACTACAGCTGGGAGCATAATTTGTGAGGGGATATGAACATAGGAGTTAACTTACTATTAGAGTATATATAGAGAATTATATATTTAATAGCATCACAGCATACACAACGCTCGCGCGTGTGCGCGCGCGCGCGCGCGCGCACACACACACACACACACACACACACACACACACACACACACAC